CAACGTCTCCTTCTTGTCATAACTACAACCTTAAATATAACTGGAGATATTGCACCCTGTCTACTTTAAAGTTAAACACTTATTTTCAAGACAAATGATTGGCTTAATTATTTGCAAAAAATAACACGAGTTATTCTTTTAAAATAATTCTTTCAACGTTTGACAGTTTAGTCAATAAGAACTTTAATTTCAAATTTTAAAAAACTTCCTGTCTCATCTGTTCTAATATTTTTCTGAAAAATAAGGACTAAAGTAGGCAAATCCTTAACAACAAATTTTAATGTAAACTTAACAAACTTTAAGAACTATAAAGAAGTATACCTAAATTCAAAAATAGATAAACGAAAAGTGATGTCTCAAATGTATTGTTCGAGTTAACAGGGTGGAGAACGTGGAGCTCGGTTTACACGACTAATCAAATAAAGCTCTTTCCATTGTTAAAAAGTGAAACAAAGAAATATTTGTATCGTTGAGACTATATGCTTTCTCTAGATAAAAACTAATCGATCTCATAGGACATGGATGTACAATAACCGATGACTGTATGATTACATATTACCGTCAATTTTAAGTCGCATAAAGGATAATCACAGTTTCATAAATTCCATTAGATTGTATATATAATCATTACTTTTAGTGATTGTTATCAAATTAATTTACAATCAACATTAAAGACCAGTAGTTTTTCAAATTTTTTATACAATACCCATAAAACGAACTGTGATTAAAGTTGGTTAGTTTTGCACTTATTTACTACCGAAATGAATAAGTTCTTATTAGCAAACATTTCTCATTAGAGGCTGTTTTAGTAGAGATACAAAACTCAGATATTTAAATTCGTTACAGATTACGTTAGTAACATTTACTCAAGGTAAATTAAATAGTTTTAATAGTTGAGATCATGAGTCAATTGAAGCTACACCGCCATAGAAAACCTGGAAGCACTAGATGGCGGTTTCGTCCTATTGTGGGACTCCCCAGCAGTGCGCATCCACGATCCCGCCTCGCGAGATTCGAACCCAGGACCTATTGGTCTTGCACGCGAACGCTTAAACTCTAGACCACTGAGTTAGAATCCAACGTTGTTAATGTCTAACTTCAACTAATCCACGAAAATGAGCGACACATCCACCATTGTCGTTAGTGAGTTACTATCTCACAACAGACCCGGTTGAACTCCACTGCTCACTGCTTCTCACTAGAACTTCAGGAAATACCTCATGCAGTTAGTCATTAGTGGGCATATGTTGATTAATATCAGAAGGGATTTTGTGGATATTACAGTAATTTTAATAGTTGAGGTCATGAGTCAATTGAAGCTAGACTACCATGGAAAACCATGGAAAGTTAAGTACTCCACATCTGGTTTAACTTGTAATAATCAACGTTCTGTGGAATCAAAACAAACAATATCATTTAACGTGAAGTTAACGCTTCACAAATTAATCCAACTGGATGGAAATGTCAGACTATGAAGTCTTATAACTAAAGGTACTCATCAATATATGTCGGGATATTGTTTGAAAAATAGTGATGATTTCTCAATCCGGATATTCAACTCTGAATTATGTAAGACAGTTATTCAATTTCATTTAGAAGAAAAGGTTCATTATTATTATTGCATTACTCAACAATAATTAGTTGATGTTCACTCTGGGTTCGATAGAAAATGCTGGTGGGTGGCTTATGCTCCTCCACGAGGGGTAACAGGCGTAAGTAAATAAGTAATTACTCAACAAGTGACTTATTAGTAAGACTAATGACTATTAAAGGTACATATGTTGAATTTTTTTTAACTATATTGGGAAATGTTTTTTTTAAACTGAAGATAGAAAGAATCAATTAAAAACCAGTGTTTCTGAAGTAAAAATAGGTAGCAAGTGAACGAATAAGTACGTGACCTAATTAATACTCATGACCTTAAATTCATGTGTAAATTTAGTCAGAATTAAACACCTGCTAAATAAATAATTAGTAATGACGACAAATAAACTTAATTTTATTAAACACGTTAATCATAAAAATCTTTTACAAAAGCAGTGATTTGAATCAGTTCAATCAAATAAGTGTTTAACACTTCAACAAATTATAATTTCTAGGTTTTAAAAAACAAAATTAAAAGTATAAATAAAAAGCGTACGGAAGATGTGATATTGAGAAGTTTAAAACACACAAAGATACTTTTCCGGAATCTTCAGAGAAATATGTTTTCAATTACTCAAGTATAACATTATCTAAAGCAATTAGTCCCTTTTATAAATTTCGATAGAACAATGAGAAGACGGAGTTGATCTGAAAAATGTGATGTATTTGCGCTATACATTTCGAACAATCTGGTCACAAATATACTTGTCAGGGTATTTTATATAAAAATTAATAAAGTTCAATTACATGAAAGTTAAGGTACAAACAAACAAACAAAAATAACAAAGGGGGAGAGAAAGAATAAGAAATTGTCGCGTTATCCTAGGCCATAGAATGACTGAAGGATTACCAAGGTAAATTCAAGGTTACGACAAATTGTTTTTGTACACAAAAAGGGGGCTTGAATTTACGAATAGCCAAGGCTTCAATAAACTTAAGCTACAAGCATTATCTATTGGTCCTAAATTTTGTAGTACGTCAATTAACAATAATGAATTCAACGCTAAAACTATAAGGTGTGAGAAACTTTTACTTCAAGATAAGTTTTAATATCAAAAATGTATACTGCTGTAAACGGCCGTTTCATCTTTATTTAAGCTTTCCAACAAAATGTCACCAAACATATCAATTTATGGTTTAAATTACCTTCAACTCATACGAAATCTCAACTAAATTAAATAACTTTTAAGAATAGTCTTGTAATCGTTGGTGAGTGCCTTCAAGATTATTTTATTGATGAATTATTGAGAAACTATGAACAATGAAGTCAGTTGAAACAAGAGTATGGCAGTTATACCTTGACGACACAGGCTGATAATCAGGAGCAATTATGAGCTAATCGGACATGTGAGATACTCGATGATGGCTAAGTGGCTGGATATTAATGTTTATTCTAATAAGTCCGAATGATTTTAACTTAATTTTTCTGGGTCTTGAATTATCATTTCCAAGGAGTCCTAGATTACAACGAAAAACAATGCAAGGGTTCCACTATTTCCAACGATCTTCTAGGTGGTGTATTTTGAAATGATGAATTAGCATTTATATGAACAATATTTTGCAAACAGATGGGAGAAACGTATCATAGTATTTTGGAGAGAAACATATTATTAGATAAAATACATTCTATAACTTTAAATTGTAACGTGGGTCATGATTTCATCGGCTTTTTTGAGGTAATGATCGATGAACATTCACATCATGATTTAAAGAATCAATTCAATACACTCTTATGGTAGATGTAAAGATGCTTCATTCATAAAAAACCCATCTGTTTAGCTAAAAATACCTCAGTATCTTCCAATGAAATACTATTTACTATTTAAATATAATAACTAATATTTCACATGAATGAAAATATACCCAGGAGATATCTTAGGATTTTTAGTTTAGTACAGTGAGGTACATAGTCATACAAATGAATATGGAATACATCAGAACATTGAAAACTGATTTCGTGTAGTAATTTTTTTTAAAATAATACTGTCCGTATGAACAGGTAAGTGTTTATGTCTCTGAAGTCGTGTCTTGTGTTTGAATATTAAGAGAGTCATACGGTTCCTCAGTGTTGCTAATACACTTTGATATATTATCATCGTTTTCCTCATTCACCTCATATTATACCTTTTCTAAAATAATTTCTGAATTTTTTTCAAGGAATATTAAAACATTGTCATACATGTATTTTACCTTACAAATTTGCTTTCATGTATACATATATATTCTGCATTCGAAAATCTCAGATCTTGTGACTTATGTTTATTTCCTATTAACATGACCTTTATCAGCAGCATAAGGCTATCTAATCAATTCCATTAAAGTAATTAAATGGTATTTTTCATAATTGTCTGGCATCATTCTAAGAACCACTGAAAGCAAAAAGACAATGAATAGTGGTTTTCTAATTGTTTCAGACTCTTCACCGATGCACATAGATAATGAAATACGAAATCGAAGTCAGTAAGTTATATCCTCACTACCCTTCTAGAGTTTAATGATCACAATTTCCAATTTGAATTTAAGCGTCAATAATACACCATTTATAAACCATTATCGGGTACTTGTTCCAGCAACTATCTTGAAATGTCATTTCAAGGTTATTGTATAATACTTGAGTGTTCTGTTTAAATGAGTGGTGTTCATCAAAAATTATTGCGTCATTTATCAATAAACATTATGTGAATTGATATAATATGAAGTACCTTAGGAATTGAAGATAGTTTCATGACGTCAGACACTTAATTTGTGTTAGTTACCGAATTACTTACAAGGGGACTGTTTTATAAAAATTAATGAACTCGGAACACACTTCGAAAAAGATTAACAATACCGATTATATAAAGGCTTATATGTTATACCATAGTACAGAGTGAACCATGTAATGAGGAGTGACATATCTTACCTATCATTTCAGATTTTGCTTGACAATTCATAAAGGCATGACAAACTTTATAAATATGCTGTTCAAAAACAGAATACACTAAAAACTCTCATTAATAAACAACTTTATACTATAATTCATTTTTATATTGGTTTTGAATCTTATCATTGGTGTTTGGGACTGCAATTGACCATTCCCTTATTGGCATGTGTGTATCCTGTGCGGATCGCCTCGATATTGCCTTCAGTCACAAGAATTCTAAGCCGAGATGGATGGTGGCTAGCAGTGGAATCCAGGACGTACGTCTCGTTTCATTTTGTAATCGTTAGCTTGATATACCACTGTTAGCGACCATCCATCCCAACTACATATTGTAAGTTCTACAAATCAAAATTCATTTATTTTAAGAAGCTCAGTAAATAAGTGGTCATTAATCAAAACTGATATGTGATTTCTTTAATAAGATACTACTTACATGAGAAGATACGACTTTATCAAATATTTTCTAATATGTGAGCTTCGAAACGTCTCTTTTTGGGAAATTGAGTCTGATGACTACTTAAATATTAGTTTGCGTTTGTATGTGTGTATGGAACCTGAAAAGCCTAACTATCACTCAAATAAATTTGTAAACATTCTTCATTTATTCATTGGATTTAAATCATCTGATGGTTTTTGTTTCTAAATATTTTCTAAGTACCCTTTTAACCAATCAGATGGGTTTACAGAAAATACAGGTGATTTAAATAAAATCATTTGATTGAAAAATACTTCTTCGTATATTATTTTTACTCCTATATTCTGATGACTACAAATAATTTAAGTGTTACAATTGAAAATCTGTTACACGCATTCATGTTTTGAACGGGTGAGATTTTCGTGCTTATCTGTACAGCTTTTCATTGTATCCTTTAGTGTCTTTAAGTTCTAATTATTACATACGAGAAGAAAACAGAATTGTGGTCGATGTTGAGAGTTCCGAACGAGCTATGTTCGTGTAACTGATCCCAAATTATGAAGAACAATTATCACACCAACCAAGTGAACATAATCTTTGTTGACATGATAAATCTTTCAACCTAGTTGATTTTAATATACGACTGCGAAGGTATTGTCGAATAGTAATTCTTATGATTGGTTATTTCATTAATTACATTGAAAAACCAAGGTTTTATGAAGTATTGTAATGGTATAGTTAGATGGTAAATTCAACCAGAAAATAAAAACTGTTTTAACTTACTGCTTCGAGAGAGTTTCGAAAAACAATGAATTCATATAAATAACTGGGACCAATAAGTATCAGCATTGAGCTTAACAAAATAATGCTGGCTTGAGATATTTTCAAAAAACCTTCAAGCTGTGATGAGTAATAACTACAGAAAATTTATTATATAAAATATGTAGAAACAAACGAAGTATTCAGCAAAGTCTCCCAAAAAAGTCAACAACTCATTAGTTGAAGCTTGGCAACAGCTTTGAAGATAAATGTGTTAAGAAAAATTATTCTGATTTCAAATCTGTCTCCAACTATCATTCACAGAAAAAAAATCTCATCTTAATTTTAATCAAACCAAACAAAAGCAAGTGGTTCACATACTACTACTTCGTTTACGTGTTATCTCAACAAATCCAGTTCAAAGAAACTAGCTACTTTAGATACTAGTAGTGAATGTATGCCTTTCAAGGTTTCATAAAAATATGTTGTAGATCCATTTTATCCTTCATTGGATTGTTTTAAAAGCTCGCTTCAAGTAGAATAAGTAACATTCAAGCACCTCGACTTTATTTTAACAAAGCAAGTTTAACATAGAAATAAGCTAAAAGAATCAATTTTGATTTTGTGCAACAGTACTTCTATTATCCATTTCTTCTTTCACATTCTTGCTAGCAATAACTTCCATGCAATTTTGTCTTGCGTAATAACACGGGGTCACCATGTGTTGTGTCAACCGTTAAAAAATCTCATTTGCCAGGATGAGATAATTAAATATAGACTAACTCACTATATACTTACTTTCTCCAGGTATTTTCATTAGAGCTACACATTTTGGGTTTGATTTCATATGGTATGATGTAGGTGCACGACTGGGTAATCTTAAACTAAGAAGCCACTACTTTCAAGTGGTGGACATCCACCCTTCAAGGTGGATGAATATACCTATGTGTATGCTATGGGATTCATGGGGCAAATCTTGTGTGTTACCCGTGTGCATGTAACATATATTAACTCACAGAGTATGTACACCAGTATGTATGCCAAGTGATACCCGGATGAAACAACATGTGTTAACTCGTATGTTTATAGACTATGCCTAAACAGTTCAAGTAAAATTCAGAAAATTTTTTACTTGTTCTTGTGTGCGATACCAATACGCACGCAAATAACCGCACAAACTGTGGTCCCGACAAAATTGCATCCACGCGGTGGGATTGTGCGCCTCGAAAAAAAGGAACCCAGTTCCAGAAAGCCGCAACTCCGCCTGTAGCTAATCTTGGGCTGCTATCGACCGAATGTCCACAAAAAAGAGAAGGGTTGGGAGTAGGGTCGGCATCCTCGTCCCGTAGAAAAAAACACTGCTAAGAAAACGCTCACCAAAATTAACAAATTAAATCATTTAAACTCTGCCATCCAAGTTGAAGGATCTTCTTTCAGAACAATTATGACGCGTCATGATGAAAGCCAAGGTTCTGACGAAGTCACGAAACCGATACCACTTTTAACGATCAGAGAAACAATTAATATAGATAAATGCAATGTTCGGACAATGTGGGAAACCGGAAAGATCAATCAAATAGCTGTGGAAATGAGAAGATACAACTTGATAGTACACGGAATCAGTGAAAGCGATTGAACTCGAGCTGGACAGAAAAGGATAGATCGAGGAGAGATGCTGTTGTGCTCTGATCATGAAGAAAGAAATACTGCATACACACTCAGGGAGTTGATCTGATGTTGTCCACAGACGAACAAAGAGCACTTATAGGATGGAAATCTCAAGACAAATAAGGAATGAATCATACTGAATTTTATCCAGTGTTATGCATCGACCAACTACAGCAATGAAGACGATAAAGATCAATTTTATGAGAGGCTGCAGTCGATCCTGGAGAAGTGCCCAGTGTAGGACCTGACCATCCTAATGGAAGACTTGAACGCCGCAGTCGGAATGGACAACACCGGACATGATGATGACATTGAAAGACATGAACTGACTGGGAGAAACTAGTGAGTATGGAGAGAGAGTTGCGAATTCATGTACCTCCAACAAAACGGTTATTGCTACCACTTTATTCACCCACAGACACATACACAACAACTACATGGGACTCACCGGACAACATCACACTACAGAAAACCAGATTGATCATATCTGCATCACTAGAAAATTCAGAAGACCAATGGAAGACACGAGAATCAGAAGATGAGCTGACATGGATTCACATCACCACCTGCTTGTGGCTGACAAGATGAAACTGAAGTTAAAGAAGCATTGGACAACTGGAGAAACAGCATTCCTTCGACATACCGACAAACTCAACCAATTCAACATAACTCTCAACAACAGGTTCCGAGCTTTACAAGATCTGCTGGAGGAAGAAGAAGAAGAAGAGACTACTATGATGGACAATTGGAAGCAGATCGAAGAAGCACTAACTTCAACGTTTCAGAAGGTTCTGGGCTGCAGGAAACATCATCATCATAAGCAATGGATCCCCATCGAAATGCTGAACAAGATTCAAGAAAGGAAGAAATAGAGGACATCAATCAACAACAGCCGAACAAGAACAGAGAGGGTGAAGGCCCAAGGTAAATAAACTGAAGCCAATCACTGAGATTCAAGAACAGAGGAACGGGTGGGTAGAACACTTTGAAGGAATTCCGAAAAGACTAGCCCTAGTGAACTAATCAAGAGAGGGATAGAATCAGGACCGAACAACATGCCATCTGAAGCACTGATGTTAGACAAAGAAGCGATTACGGATAATTTTGAACGGTCAATTGAATAGAGCTCACCAATATGCATCAACTTCCACGAATATGCAAAAGCATTTGACACTGCGTATAGGAGGATCCTATGGAAGCTTCTTCGACATTAAGGTGTACCTGAGACGATAGTCAACATTATACTAAATTCATACGACAGACTGCACTGCAATGTCGTGCATGGAGGACAGCTGACAATCGCATTTCAAGTGAGGACTGGTGTTATACAAGGCTGCTTACTCTCCCCCTTCTCATTTCTTCTGGTGGTTGACTGGATTGTGAAGACCTCGACATCCGAGGGGAAGCACGGAATACAATGAACAACTGGCATGCAGTTGGATTAGTCGGAATCCTCAGATGACCCAGCCCTCCGACAACATACACAGCTACAAATTCAAGTGAAGACAGTTAATGTATCGTCAGACTCTGCAGAAGTAGACCTCAAGCGAGCACCAAGCAAATCACACTTGACGGAAAAGCTCTGGAATGGGTGGAAAAATTTACGTACCTGAGAACGATCATTGATAAACAAGAGGGATCTGATGCAGATATGAAGCCACAGATTGGCAGTTCAGGGACAGCATTCCTACAGTTGAATAACATACGGAACTCAAAACATCTGTCAACCAAGATCAAAGTCACAATCTCCAATACGAACGTCAAGATTATCATGGTGTACGGAACTGGAACGTGGGGAACTACTACAACCATAATAAAAAATGTACAAGTATTTATGAACAATTATCTACGCAAGATACTCAATGTCCGTTGACCGGATACTATCAGCAACAGCGTACTGTTGGAGAGAATAAACCAGCTTCCAGCCGCAAAGGAAATTAGGAAAAGAAGTTGTAGGTGAGTAGGAGATAGATTAGGGAAATCATCAAACGGCATCACAAAGCAAACCTTAACTCGAAATCCTGAAAGGAAACGGAAAGGAGAAAGACCAAGATATACATTGAGTCGGTAATTGGAACCAGGCATCAGGAGGTTAAACAGCAACTGGAAATCATTGCTCAGGACGGAGTTTGACGGAGACTGCTGATGGATGGCAAATGCTCCTACAAGAGAGTTAACATATATACGTAACTAAGCAAGTAATTTCTAGTATGTCCAACTTGTTTTGAATCTTATATTCATCGATTAGGGAATATTTACTAGATACGTTTTGGTGATGATTATGGGAGACTTTCAGTGTGAAACATGAAACATAATATAAAATATGTGTTAACCGATAAATTCATTAACGGTAACAGGTCAGAAAAATAACCGTTGATGACAGAGATGATATTATTGAGTTCAGGTGTAACTTTAGGATGACGGCAAACTAATTATGTCTGATTTCTTTTTTTTTTTTTGAATATTATAATGTGAATACTTATGTGTGAACTTTATTTTTAAAATGAACAATAATTGACTTTCAGTTTTCTTCAGCTGTCGGCTTATTTGATTAAATATAAAGCGAAATTTGCAAATACTGAATGTTTGAGAATCACAAAATAATGTATTTCTGAATCCAAAAAAAATATAATGTAAAGATATATGTGATTATTCCGAAATAGTTTTGAACTGTTTATCTGGTAGGTTATATATTTGATTTGACTGTATTGTAATGTAACAAAGTACTTAGTAAATAGCTGAATATATAGTAATGCTTTTTATGTAAGTTCTAAAAGTTCAAAATAATTAATGAACATGCATCCTTCATTCATCAACTCGGTGTCTCTTATTCTTCTTTATTTCTACATTGGATCAGTAAACCTCATTTTAAGTTAAAACTAAAAGTATTAACTTCTATTCAAATCGTCTTTTATCTGTCATAGCTGATAACGCCAACTACATAGAATGGTTGATTTGTTGTTATATAGCTCAAAGTAGTCGGCGGACTAACCCTAGACACAGTTAATGATTGTCGGTTATTCGGTTCAAATAGCTTAGTGGTCAAGTTTCAGACACTGAAACTGGATAACGTAGGTTTCGTTACTTCAAGATTACAAGTATTGGATACTGAATAATCTCAACCACCACGAAACCCAGGTTAAAGGTTTTCTTTTGACTACCTCCTGTCATCTAACAGACTAAAAACTAAACCTGTACATTTAACGTAATCCAAAGTGGGAACTTCGACAGACTACCTTCCAGTAGAGTTTTATATTAAATCAATGGATGAATGATGATCTACAATAATAGGACGTAATAAATAATTCCTTTGTATAAGCTATCTGAATTTTTAGTAAAAATGTTACCTATAGAGTTGAGTAAGAAGAGAGAAAGTTTTTCACTGAAGTATAAACAAATTAAATAAAGTTGAAAGTTTGAACCATCTAATTCTGTCATTGTGGTTCGAACCTATTATGTTCAGTTTATCTCAGCATTCTAATACATCTGGTTTCCTCAAATGTCTATAAAACCACAGAGTAAATGATCTTAATTTCATCCTCATTGTAGATAGTTTAATTAGGAAATGCTTTTATTATTTAAATTTATAATTAATTTGGTTTTGTTTTCAATGTACTACTAAAATATCAAGGAAAGTAAAAAGAATAATTCAAAATGAATGAATAGTCAGATGATTTCATAAATTGGCACGAAGACATTACTCCAAGTTTATAAAATATCTGTTAATTGTTGCAAGATTATCTACAGGGATGAAGAATGATGGATTATGACATATTAAGCATTTCATTCTGAACAGTTCACTAGAATGCTTAAGAACGTACACAAAATATTTAAACCAAAGCATAATATCTGTTTAGAACCGGAAGTAATAAGTAAAGTATTTAACTGACGCATAAACGACATACTTTCTCAATGATAACAATGAGGACGTTATGATGACTGAATGGAGTAGGTTCACAAATCAACGGTGAAATATTAGCAGAGATCAAATTCTAATTGCCTATAACTTTTGATGAAAGTTTATCTGTAAAATTAAAAGATCTTAATACAAAGCCGAGCTGTATTTTTACAGTAATGTACCAAATGTAAAACGTCTAAATTTCCAGGATAGAATAACATTTCTAGATTTTCCAATTATGCTACTTTTTGTGACGACTAGTATGAGTTAAGACCAAGACA